GACGACGCTAATATCCACTAAACACTGCGGAAGAAGAGGCCATGCCACGGCTCGCCCCACCCTCCACCTCCCTTTATAGCCACCACCAAGCCGTTGAAATGTCCTGTGTTGCGTACTCTTTCCAAGCAGGCCACTTCTCAAATAGCCAGCGAACGACACTCCGCGTCTCGCGTCAGAGGTGTGGCCCCACAACCCCCACCCTTTTTCTCCCCCACTGTTGTTTCTTTTTTTTGTTGTTGTCTTTCCTTCTTGTTTTTATTTTTTGCCCGGTTCCCTTCTTCCTTGCAGATACACTACGCGAAGAGAGGAAAACAGGGTAAGGGAATAAGTCTGTAATTTTCGTAAGAAGATGTTTGCGCGTCGTCTACGCAGCTCAGGTGGCCTGGCGGCCGCGTCGCTGGCCCGCTGGCAGTCGTCGAAGGTGACCGGTGACGTCATTGGCATCGACCTTGGCACCACGTACAGCTGCGTCGCGGTGATGGAGGGCGACAAGCCGCGCGTGCTGGAAAACACCGAGGGCTTTCGCACCACCCCGTCGGTTGTGGCCTTCAAGGGCCAGGAGAAGCTCGTCGGTCTTGCGGCGAAGCGCCAGGCCATCACAAACCCGCAGTCCACCTTCTTCGCGGTGAAGCGACTGATTGGGCGCCGCTTTGAAGACCCCCACATCCAGCACGACATCAAGAACGTGCCGTACAAGATTGTGCGCAGCAGCAACGGCGACGCGTGGGTGCAGGACGCCAACGGCAAGCAGTACTCGCCGTCGCAGGTGGGCGCGTTTGTGCTGGAGAAGATGAAGGAGACGGCGGAGAACTTCCTTGGCCGCAAGGTGTCGAACTCGGTGGTGACGTGCCCAGCGTACTTCAACGACGCGCAGCGCCAGGCGACGAAGGACGCCGGGACGATCGCCGGGATGAATGTGATCCGCGTGGTGAACGAGCCGACGGCGGCGGCGCTCGCGTACGGTCTGGACAAGACGAAGGACAGCATGATCGCCGTGTACGACCTGGGCGGCGGCACCTTTGATATCTCCGTGCTCGAGATCGCCGGTGGCGTGTTTGAGGTGAAGGCGACGAACGGCGACACGCACCTTGGCGGCGAGGACTTTGATCTGTGCCTGACCGACTACATTCTGACGGAGTTCAAGAAGTCGACCGGGATTGACCTGAGCAACGAGCGCATGGCGCTGCAGCGCATCCGCGAGGCGGCGGAGAAGGCGAAGTGCGAGCTGTCGACCACGATGGAGACGGAGGTGAACCTCCCCTTCATCACGGCGAACCAGGACGGCGCCCAGCACGTGCAGATGACGGTGAGCCGCAGCAAGTTCGAGTCGCTGGCGGAGAAGCTGGTGCAGCGCTCCCTGGGCCCGTGCAAGCAGTGCATCAAGGACGCAGCGGTGGACCTGAAGGAGATCTCCGAGGTGGTGCTCGTCGGCGGCATGACGCGCATGCCGAAGGTGATCGAGGCGGTGAAGCAGTTCTTTGGCCGGGAGCCGTTCCGTGGCGTGAACCCTGACGAGGCAGTTGCGCTCGGCGCGGCAACGCTCGGCGGCGTGCTTCGCGGCGACGTGAAGGGCCTCGTGCTTCTGGACGTGACGCCGCTATCGCTCGGCATCGAGACGTTGGGCGGCGTCTTCACGCGCATGATCCCGAAGAACACGACGATCCCGACCAAGAAGAGCCAGACCTTCTCGACCGCCGCGGACAACCAGACGCAGGTGGGCATCAAGGTCTTCCAGGGCGAACGCGAGATGGCGGCGGACAATCAGCTGATGGGCCAGTTTGACCTTGTGGGCATCCCACCGGCGCCGCGCGGCGTGCCGCAGATCGAGGTGACGTTCGACATCGACGCCAACGGCATCTGCCACGTGGCGGCGAAGGACAAGGCGACCGGCAAGACGCAGAACATCACCATCACGGCGCATGGCGGTCTGAGCAAGGATCAGATTGAGCGCATGATCCGCGATTCTGAGGCGCACGCGGAGTCGGACCGCCTGAAGCGCGAGCTGGTGGAGGTGCGCAACAACGCCGAGACGCAGGCGAACACGGCGGAGCGCCAGCTGACGGAGTGGAAGTACGTGAGTGACGCCGAGAAGGAGAACGTGCGCACGCTGCTGGCGGAGCTCCGCAAGGTGATGGGGAACCCCAACGTGACGAAGGACGAGCTCTCGGCAGAAACAGACAAGCTGCAGAAGGCGGTTATGGAGTGCGGCCGCACGGAATATCAGCAGGCTGCGGCGGCTAACAGCAGCGGCTCCAGCAGTGGCACAGACGGCAATCAGGGTGAGCAGCAACAACAACAGGGTGACCAGCAGAAGCAGTAATAAAAGCGATAGATGTGCAGGTTTTTTCTCACAGAAGGAGCTTTAGCTAAAGTAACTATAACTGAGTTGATCTTCCCCATTCTTTCTTCGGCTTCGGCTTAAAAAGATGTGCCGTGAAAATGGCGGTGAGAACACTTCTTCAAAAATTTTACGCTGTTTTTTTAAGGCACTTGTCACATTCGGCTTCCTCAACGTGTCTCCGAGTCTATCCGGCAGGACTAAAGGAAGTTAAGTTATTTGTTCTATTTGGACAACTAACAGAATGAAGACGAAATCTTGTTTTCATACTATTACTGATTCTCTTTCCCATTAATTTGGATTCATCTAATGGTTCGGTTTATTTTATTGTTCTGCAAGT